AGTTTTGACTAACCTTTTTGAGAAAATGACTAAGTAAGTATTCTTTAAATTAATTTAAAATAAAATAAAATTGACTAACATTTTTAAGTTTAAGCATAACGTAACAGATTGGGAATTTTTCCAAGCAAACCCCTTTAAAGTCTCATGTATTCTTTAGACAAATAAACTAGGTATGAACTCATCATAAGCATAATCTATTCTAGCAAAAAAAAAAAGCTATTAAAAAAAGGCCTTAGGAAGACATTTAGTTAGCTCATTAAAGAAGAAATTTTGATGCTATTTTGATATAAACAGAGGGAAGAAATTCCAATAACTAACATGCCAATTACTAAAGAACAGGACAAAATATTTAGCAATGACAAAATATTCATATCAAGAACAACTTAATATTAAACCGACATGCCTCACAAGGGACAAGAAGAGCAACCAATCAATCTAATAAAATTTTAACACAACAGAGAGCAAAATTGGATACTTATATAGTTCATAAAGACATCCTAATTTGGCTCAAATTTATCTAAACAATCACAATGAGTGATAAAGCTCATGTTGAAACAAAACGATAAGCAAAACAACCTTAGGACTAGAAAAAGATTACAACTAAAGTGTCTAATCCATATAGACACAAACAGAGGCAGCAAAGGAAAGAATGCAAAAATGAGGTCATGAACTAAACAACATCTTGACGTAACACGAGTAGCTACTAAACTCGACACAAAGATTGTCAACACAAGCAACTTATTCAAAGGAAATCGAACTATTATATAGTAGGACTCAAAGCGAACTCAAGGAGACAGGCCACCAATCGTGTTCAACAACAAGATTTCTAAAATGTCATGAAAGAGACAACGACATTAGAGAAGAATCAAGCTGAACAAAAGCTGAGGATTTTAACTAAAATGAGACTACCACAGAAGGAATCTAAGGAATACTAAATATAAATGCAATATCATAATTCGTTCGGCACTCGCCGAACATGTAACAAAACAACGAACATTATTTCAACAATGAAAATAAGGTAGCAATATGGCGATTAATGAATAAATAGACTAAAACTTGAGGCAAGCATCACAACTATGAGTCCGAGAAGACCCCCACAGACTCGAGTGACATTAGCTCATATCGAAAATGAAATAAACGTCACTAATTTCAAAGACAATAAAGATATCGCTTAGACTTGAACAAATCAAAAATGGTTATCTCCAGAATACTACATCACTTCTACACACCGAATTCAAAGTGAACAAAAGGGATACGAGTTATTTACATTTTAGGGAGCAGAGAACTGAGACAACGAATCGGGGAGCGATTTCCACGATTCTCCTACCACGCTAGTTTAGACTTGAGTGAATAAAACTGAAACTAAGTGACCCTTTGATAAGCTATTTTCGTATGTGAATACGTGCCCTCAAAAATCCAATCTTTTTTTTTTGACTTCCCTTAATCACTGAAGGTATAGAACTATTTATAGGGAAAAAATTGGGCGATTTAGTGGGGGAAATTTGGTGGATTTTTGAATGGAAGAGTTTGAATTTTTCTTTGCTCCTTTTCGAAGCAACAGTAAAAGGGATGGAAAAAAGTTGAATCCTTGAAAGAGGGAAAAGGGGACGATTAGGCCGCTAGGGTTATGGGATTTGCAGATGATCGCGTACAGGTTTGGTATTGCTCGCGACTTTGGCTGCTGTCCGCGATTTCTGGGTTGCTGATCTGCTTCGCTCACTGCGTGTGAGGAAGACGACGATGTACAGGGTGGGGTCGTTTTGCTGTGTATTGTATTTTTGACAGAATTTAGGCTTCTTTATATATTGGGTCGGTTATGTATGTTGTTGTATTATATTGATTGAAAAGTGGGCTGATGAGTTGGGCTGCTGAAGGTTTTGAATTGGAATTGGGCTGAAAAATAGACCCAATTTTGAGTCTTAGATGGGTTTAAGGTATTTGGCTAATAACCAAATTAGATAAATTAATAAAAATTAATTAATGAGCTTCTTAATCTTAACAAAATAAAATAATCGACTTAATTATAAAATAATTGATCCAAAAATGTAAACTATTATATAACTAAACTAATTAGTGAAATATTTAAACAAAATAAAATCTTTTTGAGACGATTTTTGAATATTCATAAAATGTACTAATTATATACAAAATTATCTAAAAATTATAAAAAGTGACAAAACTATTTAAAATAACTTGCAAACTATATTATTTTTCTTTTGAGATTTTATAAAACTAATTGTTTTATTCGTTCGAAACTGAAGAAGCTCAGCAATTAATCTATAATGTGAAGGTCCAAAATTGGGTGTCAACACCTGTCCCTAGTTTGACTTGGATTGGTGAAAGCAATTCGAGGCAAATGAAATTGACGAATCTAATTTTGACCGACCACATCTTCATCTTTAGGAAAGGGATTTTGGTACGGACTTTAGGAATAATGGCCGAACCTCGGTTTCGGTTTCCTACATATCTCAGGCTATATGAGAACTCAGGTCACTTGTAGTTAGATACGCTTGATTTGACGCATGATTATGAAAGAATTCAGAAGCTATCCCGATATCAAATTATAAACATATCAGATTGCTCGGGAATAAGATTTAAGAGAGAATGTCGGAATACAACCGAGTTTTCAACATTGAGCCCGCCTACATATCCTTAGACCTTAGGAATCAGGTTGTTTGTAGTTCGACTCGATCGTTTGAAAAGGAAATATATTGTGCTAGATAACCTTCGTTTCTGGAAGAGTGACAAGTAAGTCAAGTATGGAAAAGAGGCTTGCAACCTCTTAACCATGAATGTGGCGCGCTTCACACCCATAATTATGAACTTACACGGACATAATTTCCAAAGCACTTGGTGTATTGTCACTCAGATTGGAAAGCTGCCTCTGGTGGGAGTGGAAAGTTTTCCAGATGCCAAATTTGAACTGATAAACCCAAGGAAATACCCACATGCCTTTTGATAGGGGTATGGTTTGATTGTGATGGAAGTCGCTCCTCAGCTCACGTCGTAAGAGTTTGAGGCTCCTCTTTGGACTATGTCCCAATTCGCTGCTAAAAAAAATTCCACGTTGTGTTGCATCCGTTTTGATGTCGTCCACACCTGTGATTTGATTTGAGTATTCATCTTCTCGGATGCTCTCAAAACGGACTGAGATAAAACTCATTAGTGCAAAAGTATAATTCAAATGGAGAGATAGTGTCATTTACCATGTTGACACTTAATTTTTCTCCTTGAATATTTGACGTCAACTTCTTTCAGTTTGACGTAAAACAAATAAAGCTTGTATGTCATATTTGCAACATGACTCTTCACTATACTCTTCCTTTACTATCGAGTAGTAAATTAGACTAATGTAATGTGTTGATGGTTCTCTTGATGGTTGAATATGATGGCCCTCTTGGCGGTCTGAATATGATGACCCTCTCGGCAGTTTGAAAAATGATGGCCTTCTCGGCAGTTTGAATATGCAATGGCCCTCTCAACGATTTGAATATGCAATGGCCCTCTTGGCGGTTTGAATATAAATGTTTCTCTTGGCATTTGAGTGTGCAATGGCCCTTTCGACGGCTTGATTATGCAATGGCCCTCTCGGCGACTTGAATATGCAATGGCCCTCTCGGTGATTTAAATATGAATAGTCTTCTCGGCAGTTTGAATATGCAATGGCCCTCTCGGCGATTTAAATATGAATGGCCTTCTCAGCAGTTTGAATATGAATGCCCCTCATAGCGGCTTGAATATGGAATGGCCCTCTTGGCGATTCGAATCTGCAATGACCCTTTTGGCAATTTAAATATGAATGACCCTCTCGGTAGTTTGAATGTGAATGGCTTTTTTGGCGTTTTGAATATGATGGCCCTTTCGGCGTCTAAATATGATTTTGACTATGAACGTCGTCTTTCATCAATATTTGATATGATGATAGGTACTTTGTGATCATAACATCATTTTCATCGGTATCTCGCAGCCTTAAGCGGTAGATACTAATATTTAATCTATCAAATACCTCTTTGATCAAACGAAGATGTTACACTCACTAATTGATATTTGCTGGATATGTTTTCCTGAACTAGTTGGTTGATAAATATAGCTCATTTGATGATCTTATTATACCCTGCATCCACAAAAAACATGTTAGTTTTTGAACACTGATCTGTGTTGAAGTCGCCTTGCTCCTGGTCCCGTTATCTCTAGAACTTTGTCTGGTAGATCCAATGAATCGCAGTAGACAAAAGAAAAAAATCATATTTAAATTAAAACATTTGCTAAGCATGAAGTTTTGAAAAATAGTTTTAAAGAAAATCTCTGTCAATAATTGTCACGACATGCACGATACGAACAAAACTCTTTGTCTCAGATTTTGATATGACAGGTAATTTGCAGGCAACTTAAAACCCTTTAAGAACACGTCAATTTGAGGCAATTGAAGTTGACTTCGAAGGTCCGAGTATCCTTAATGGAATTTTTGAGATCCTTCTCAAAAATCTGTCCCAGTTAGATATTTCAAAAGCAAATCTGATGATGATCACGGGAGTCTTGCATTTGAGATCTCCTCAAAATTATTCCCAGTTGCACATTTCGATATGATCCTTGACTCTTGTTTGTAGGAAATGACTCTTCTTGTAGAATATTTTAGGTCCTCTCAAAAATTCTGTCCAAGTTTCCATTATGAGGGGAAATGGAAATCTTATTGGGAATATAACCGAGCCTTTGTGGCGCCAACGTATCCCGTTGAGGCAGGAATCAAGTCAAACGTAGTTCCCATCTCGAGAAGTGACAAAATAGAAAATTTGATAAGGAAACAACCGAGACCGACATAGGCCGCCTACGTATCTCATTCTTGAGAATTCAGGTCGAACATAGTTCAAGTACCAGGGAATGTTTCAAAACATAATGCGATAATGATTACAAACAAACTGCAATTACAAGGAAATAAAGGAAAGAAATAGCATCCTTCAAATGTAGTATCTCTTGACGGCATCTGAATTGATAGCTTTGCGCTACACCTGACCGTCCATCTCTGCTAGAACCAAAGCTCCTCTTGATAGTACTTTGTGGATGACATACGTTCCTTGCCAGTTAGGTGCAAATTTCCCTTTATATTCCTCTTGATGAGGATAAATGCGTTTCAATACGAATTGGCCTACATTAAATGTTCGAACTCTAACTTTCTTGTTGAAAGCGCGAGTCATTCTCTGTTGATACAACTGGCCATGACAAACATCACTCATTCTTTTCTCATCAATCAATGCCAATTACTCATATCGATTACGAACCCATTCGGCATCACTCACTCCAGCTTCCTGAATAATCCTTAAAGGTGGTATCTCAACTTCAGTTGGTATCACTGCTTCTGTTCCGTATACCAATAGATAAGGAGTTGCTCCAGTTGAGGTTTGGATTGTGGTGCGATAACCTAACAAAGCATAAGGCAAATTTTCATGCCAACATTTGTAGTTGTCAATCATCTTTCTTAGTATCCTCTTGATACTCTTATTAGCAGCTTCCACAACTCCATTCATCTGAGGACGATATGCAGTTGAATTACTGTGGGTAATTTTGAATTATTCACATATCTCTTTCATCAAGTGACTATTCAGATTTGCTTCATTGTCTGTGATGATAGACTCTGGAACTCTAAAACGACATATCAAATTGTTGCGAACAAAATCGGCCACAACTTTCTTTGTCACAGCTTTGTAGGAAGCAGCTTCGACCCACTTTGTGAAGTAATCAATGGCGACCAAAATGAACCTATGACCATTGGAGGCAGCAGGCTCAATCGGTCCAATAACATCCATGCCCCAGGCTGCAAATGGCCAAGGGGAACTCATCGCATTGAGCTCGTGGGGTGGTACTTTGATCAGATCTCCATGCACCTGGCATTTTTGGACAAATCGGCCACAATCATTTTCCATAGTATTCTAGAAGTATCCCACCCTTAAGATTTTCTTTGCTAATGTAAACCCATTCATGTGCGTCCCACACACTCCAGCGTGCACTTCTTCAAGCAATTTTGTGGCTTCTGCAGCATCCACACATTTCAGTAATCCCAGATTGGGTGTCCTCTTATAAAGAACCTCTCCATTCAAAAAGAAGTTGTTTGTCATTCTTCGGATTGTTTTCTTCTGAATACTTGTTGCTTCTTTTTGGATATTTGCCAGCTTCTAAGTACTTTTTTACATCGATATACCATGGATTCCCATCCCATTCTGCTTCCACATGTGAACAATTTGCTGGTTGTTCTTTTAAAGCCATCTCAAGTGGATCGATATAACTCTTTTCTGGGTGTTGTATCATGGAAGATATGGTTGCAAGGGCATCAGCAAGCTCATTCTGTATTCTCGGTATGTGTCTGAACTCGGTCTTTCTAAATCTTTTGCATAATCTCTGTACCAATTGTATGTAAGGTAAGATTTTAAGATTCTTCTGAATCACCAATTATCAGTAATTCTTGAACATTCATGTCAAGAGCCATTATAATTCCAAGAATACATGCTTCGTACTCAGCCATGTTATTAGTGCATCGAAATCTAAGCTTTGTTGTTACTGGATAATGTTGTTCTGATTCAGATATCAACACTGCTACAATTCCTGATCCTATAGAGTTTACTGCTCCATCAAAGAACATTCTCCACCCAGGATATGATTCTGATATGTCTTCCCCTACAAACAATACTTCTTCATCAGGGAAATATGTTCTAAGTGGTTCATATCCTTCATCTACTGGGTTTTCAGCAAGGTGATCGGCCAAGGCGTGCCCCTTGATTGCTTTCTGAGTCATGTACACAATATCGAACTCACTCAACAACATTTGCCACTTTGCTAGCTTTCCTATGGGCATTGCTTTCTGAAATATGTACTTGAGCGGATCCATTCTCGAAATGAGATGTGTTGTATAAGCCGACAGATAATGTCTCAATTTCTGAGCAACCCAAGTCAAAGCACAACATGTTCTTTCTAAAAGGGTGTAATGAACCTCATAGGATGTGAACTTTTTGCTCAAATAGTATATAGCTCTCTCCTTTCTTTCGGTCTCATCATGCTGTCCCAACACACACCCGAATGCATTATCAGAGACGGATAAATACAATAGCAAAGGATTGCATGCGCATGGTGGCACCAACACTGGTGGATTCGAAAGGTAACTTTTGATGGTGTCAAAAGCCTTCTGACATTCTTCGATCCATTTGGTTGGTGCATCTTTTCGTAGTAACTTGAATATGGGCTCACATATCACCGTTGATTGATCTATGAACTGACTAATGTAATTCAGTCTCCCCAAAAACTCATTACTTCTTTCTTAGTCTTTGGAGGAGGTAAGTCTTGAATTGCCTTGATCTTGGAAGGATCAAGCTTGATACCTCTTCTGCTAACTATGAATCCGAGTAACTTCGCTGTAGGTACTCCAAATGCACATTTGGCTGGGTTCAACTTCAAATCATACCTACGTAACTTGTTAAAGAACTTTTCGAAGTGTGTCAAATGATCCAAACTCTCACGGGATTTTATGATGATATCGTCCACATACACCTCAATTTCTTTGTGGATCATATCATGGAAAATGGTGGTCATAACTCTCATGTAAGTGGCTCCAGCATTCTTGAGGCCGAACGGCATCACTCGATAATGGTAGACTCCCCGAGGTGTGATGAATGCTGTTTTTTCTGCTTCTTCTTCATCCATTAGAATTTGGTGGTATCCCGCAAAACAATCCACAAAAGATTGCAACTCATGCTTAGCACAATTATCGATGAGTATATGGATATTCGACAAGGGGAAATTAACTTTGGGGCTCGCTTTATTGAGATCCCGATAATCCACGCATATTCTAATTTTTCCATCTTTCTTCGTCACTAGAACAATGTTTGCCAGTCAAGTGGGATACTTGGTCACTTCAACGAATTTTGATTCGATCAGCTTGATGACCTCCTCTTTTATCCTTAAACTCAGCTCTGGCTTGAACTTTCTAGTTTTCTGCTTTACTGGGCAATATTCAGGATTGATAGGCAGCTTATGGGAAACAATATTAATACTTAAGCAAGCACATCGATGTATTTTCTGAGCAGCTTGACCAATTCTTCTTTTTCTGTTGCTGCCAAATGGACACTGACTCGAGCTTCTCTGACCGACTCGTCATCTCCCAAGTTTACAGTCTCTGTTTCATCCAAGTTGGGCTTTTTATCGTCTTCAAGTTGCCTCAAGTCCTCGGTAAGGTGTTCAGGCATCATAGTTTCCTCATCATATTCTTCACATTCATCTTCATCGACTTTACTTGGTTCGCCGTGTTCGTGACATGTCATGACATTGGCAGGTTTAGACTTAATTTTACTAAAAAGAACAACAAATCAACCATGTTAGATAGAAAGAGTTTAAATGTATTTATTGCAAAATAATTCTCAATGACAAGATAATCAATTTGAACTAAATGAGGCTTTCATTGGAATTTTAGAAAGGCGTACAAACTTTGGTCATGACTCATGACTCATTTCCTTTTTAAACATTACGATGAAAAATAAAGTGACATAAATCGTGGTTTTGGGCCTCATCTGAACAACACCAATTTTCAAAAATAAAACTTCAAATCTTGTATTTGTCTACCAAGCCATTCGATGGATCATAAGTGGAGTGGCCACCCAATTATGTAGCATTTCTCCAGGTCCGGCATCTCGGATGGTGGGTGTTGTTGTACGTTCTGTCGAGATCACATCACAATCTTCTTCATCAAATAATATTCCCATCCCTTCCACTAGACCATCAATCGCAGGCTCTAAAGCTTTAGCAACAAATTATTGGTACAATACTGGAATAGGCTTCAGTATATCACAATCATGTTTCTTCCTTGTTTCTGCTTCAGACAATTCTTCCTCTGTTGGGGTATAACTGACACCGAAGCGAAAATTTTGAAGTGGTATAGGAAGAAGTTCGAATACGCCATCCAAATTCTTACCTAACCCATGCCCGGGCTCAAAACCATTCCTTAGCATAGTCGTGGTTAGCATTTTATACACTGGCGGCATTGGTACTTGCGGTGTCGTACCTTCAGAAGTAGCATTCATTATCTCCACCATGTGAAAGTCAGTACCTTGAGAAGAATCTTTAATAACTGGAATGGAGAAGCCAAGGTAGCTACGATTACTCCCTTCACCATGGATGATTATTTCGTGATCTTCCCAGATAAACTTCAAAATTTGATTTAATGTGGATGGCACTGCTCCAATAGCATGGATCCATGGTCTTCCTAGCAATAAATTGTAGCTTGTAGATATACCCATCACCTAGAATTCAGTGAAAAATTCTGTACGCCCCATTTGGATACACAAGTCTACTTCCCCCATGATTTCTCTTTGCGAACCATCAAACGCCCTTACATTCATGCGGCTTTGACGGATTTTCCCTACATCATATTTTAGCTGAGTCAGGGTTGATAATAGGTAGATATTGATCCATGAGCCATTATCAATCAATAATTAAGCTACAAACTTGTCCTTGCATTTGACGGTAATATACAAGGCACGGTTGTGCATCACCCTTTCGAGTGGCAACTCCTCTTCTCGTAAAGAGATATGATGACTCCCAATGACATGACTTACCATAGTGGCCAGATTCTCAGCACTTGTTCCCGTCGGTACATACACTTCATCAAGTACCTTTAATAGTGTTTTTCGATGGTACTCAGAACTCATTAATAGAGCCCAAACAGAAATTTGAGCGGGAGTCTTCTCCAAATGCTTGACAATGGAATACTCATTAGGCTGCATTCTTCGCCAAAACTCTTCAACCTCACCCTCTGTGATCGGCCTTTTTTGGTTCTCTTTTATTCGTGTCTCATGAGTTAGTTCTTCTGGAATGTAGCATCTTCCAGAACGTGTCATCCCTTGTGCGGTAGCCGCTTGCACAATAAAATTTTCTTTGGGCTGCTTTTTGTTGTTTTCCTTTGTCAAAGCGAATGCTTGATGAGGTGAAGTTAAGTTATTACAACAAACTATGGACGAGCCTTTATGGTCAATGAGGCCATTGTTGTTATAAGTGAGTTGACATTTGCTTTACCAACAGTCCCATTAGCAAGCCAATCTTCGTCTCTTTCAATCATGTTGATGGTAGCTCCACCGTGATTCGGCAATAGGTTAAGGTTTTCATTGGGGGCAGAGGCTTGAAGAGTGATGACTATATTATCGATCAAGTCTTGAATCTTATGTTTCAGATTGATACATCCTTCTGTATCATGTCCTGCCCCTCCAGAATGGTACGCACAACGTTGATCTGCTCAAAAGAACTTTGTTGTGGGATTAATTGTCTTTACGTCTACTGGTTGGATCAATCATGCTGCTCTTAAACGCTCAAAGAGTTAGGTACGTGTTTCTGTCAAGAGAGTGAAAACTCTGGGAGGCTTTCTTTCGAGGTTAGGACGGGGTAGATTGTTAGCATTTAGGTTGTTTTGTCCGGGATTTTGGTAGACTGGTGCATTGGCTTGGTGATTTGGTAGTGTATTTTGGTAGGTTGGTGGTTGATTTTATTAGATAGGCGGTGGTGCTTGGTAAGAAGTGCTGGCATAAGGAGCGTTGGATATAGTTAATTCGATGGTAGGAAGGTTAGGAGTGGAAGTGATGGGTCTTGTGGTATGGGTAGGGAAGTTGTTGGGTAATGGAGAACTTAGTGATGGAAAATGAGAAGAGGTCTTCTAGTTTCGTGGGGGGTTCATTCGATGCAATCGCCAATTTGGCTAGATCTTTGGTCTGTTGAAGCTCTTCCTGCATGTCTGCAATTCGTTGCATTAACTGAGAGATCAACTCACTCTGATCAATGAGTTCAGCATTTCTGATGGTCACATCTACTATTCCTGTTTCTTCAGGAGTACTAGTCATTTTTCTTTTGCCTTTATCCAAAGAATGATCAGGGAAGGATGGTATGAATGCTT